TTTCCCCCCCCCCCCCCCTCCCCTATAGTAAAAACAATAATTAAGGTACAGGTATCCTATAAACAAAAAAATGACAACATTGATTTGGAACACGATAAAAAAATTCAAATGTTCATGATCACTCTTATAATGTCTTGACTTTTGAATATTGTTAAAATTAAACAATGCTATTTTTTAAAAATAATTTTTTGAAATAAATTTGTTAAAAAAATTTTTTATAATTTTAGGTAAATTATCGTAAAATTTCAATACAGAAAATTATATTATACTTTTTAAAAAATTGAATACTACAAATTCAAAACTTTTGATGGAATAAAAAAAACTATAAAAAATTCAATACTTAATAATAAATGTAAATTCATAACTTCTCTGAGTCGTCAAATCTAAGCTCTCTAGTGTCACCAGCAAGCCCCTCGACGTCAATCTTATATATTTAACCATCAACTACACACCACTGACACTACACCTATTAGTGTATTAGTGTCAGCGTGGCAGCTAAACTACACATGGAAGGAGACGGTGAACCTGTACGAACTAACACAAAGTAAATCTCTGGAGTAAGAGTCTTTGTCATTTTGAAATTGTCCGTATAACAACCGACAATAATTCGAATCTGTGGAAATTAATGAAAAGTTTTGAAGTAACCCCAGTACTCCTTCCTCCTTCTTCTCCTGCGTTCTGCTCCTTCATCGGTATATATCTGTATATTCGTATATGCGCCTCACACTATACCCCATAGTTAACTTTCTCTGTTCTATAACTAAGCAGTGTTAAATATGCGCACGAGAAGATTTAAGGTCTAAAGGGGTTGAGAGTAATTTTACTTAATATCGCCTTGTGCTTTATCCAAGATCGACTAATCGTGACAAATAATACTCTATTATTCAAATTATTATCCTTTAGTTAACTCTTTCAAAATTCAATTGGTAATTAATCGCATGGAAGACAATATATATATATTGTTGATCAAAGATTCAAATAAGTTAAAATTTATGATGCATGGAAAAATTAATCAATCCATAATTAATAAAATTTATTTTTTAAAAATTTTCAACAATTTTATTTCTCAGCTGAAGAAATAAAAATTTTTCTCACAGTAATTTTTTTGATTTGGAAAAAAAAAAAATTTTAGATTGACAACTTGCGAATTTTTATTAAAAGTTTTTTTTTTTTTTTTTAATATCTAAAAAATTTTTTTTAACAAGAAATTTTCTGTAAGAAAAATTTTTATTTCTTAAGCTAAGAAATCAAATTGTTTAAGAATTTCAATAAATTGATTTCTTATTACAAAATTGCAAATTTTTTTTTTTCAGTGTAAAAATACTTTTAAAATATTCTATAAAATATAAAAAAAAAAAAATAATGGCTAGTGATAACAAAAAATCATAAAATTCAGGAAAGTCTATCAGTATCATAACATTTGACCTGGAGAGAAAATCCTCAGTCTTATAATATTTAAAAATTTTTATTACTTTATTGTTCAATATTTCCAATAATTATTGCCAAATCGATGTTACATTCTAAAAATTCGTACATTGATTACTTTTACGCGCATTTTTATGATATAACATTGTTAATTTTGGAATGGAAAATTATAAAAGAAGATATTAAAGTCTAGTCCCGAATTAGGATGTGAAAATTGTAATATTTTTTATTTAAAGTTAACCCTCAACTACTTTCCTAAAAAAATGATATCTGGAAACGAAGCTCTGGTAGGAGTTGGAAGGCAAAGTAAAGCACTTCTCTACTGGAAGAAAAATTTTTTTGATGTAATTTCAAAATTTATTTATGGTCCTTTGATAATTTTCTCGAATAGAACAAAATAAAAATTATTTATAGGTATTTTTTTTTATTGTATTATTCATATATTTTGCCGGAAAATAGATTGACAATGTTACAACAGCGTACACATTTTTTTTTTTTTTTTTTTTTTTTTTTTTTTTTTTTTATTAAAAAAGTAATATAAAATACAAGGCGTTGGTTTAACCAATGTAGCCAACGGCGTACACACATTACAAAGAAGCAGACGTCGCCATCTAGCGTTGTCGACAAATACTCTAAAGCGAATCTGTAATGGTAATTCTTTACTGAGAGAATTGATTGCTTCTACCCTAGCGGATCCGTATACACTGTGTATACTCGGAGTAAATTCAGTGTAAACTTGGTGTGGTGTATACTGGAGGGATACGGTGGGTATATTTGGTATTTTTCGAATAAACACTAAGTATAGATAAAAAATACACTCAATATACTCGGTGTGAATTCGAATCATATACCACAAGTTTACACTGAGTATACACCAAAAAAATTTTCTATCTCAAATGAATAAAGAACAGGACATCAGGACGTTTAATTGTTTTGGTGTAACATGTTGAATGAAAAATTTTAAAGCACAAAAAAATTTGTAAGTCTTAAAAACTTAAAAGTTTTCAAGTCCTGTCTAAGAATAATTTTTTTCGGATAAAAAAAAAGTATATCTGTACGGACTGAAAATACCTTGAATTGGATAAGTAGCATAATTTTAACATGTATTTTCTTTAGTTTGAAAACTTCACTGTTTACATCGTCCAAAAATCTGAATATTTGTTGACTTACGCAGGCGCCTTGCGTAGTCTCAATACATTCTGTACTGTGCAAGTTAATCTACAAATAATATAAATTTAGTCATTAAGTCTGTTGTGAATGATATATTTATATTAATGTCATTATTTATAGAGTGAACAAAATCAAAAATACTTATTTTACTAAGTAAACAAAGTGATCATCTTTATTTCTATATTTTTACTTTCTTACATCATGGACACTGGAACATGATGTCTTGATTTCAATTAATTTATCAGTTTCTAGCAGTTTGTAGCCCATTATTATTTATAAATTAAAAAAATTTTTTATAATTCAACACTTAAAAAAAATTTCAAACCCTGGGACTTTGAAATTTTTTGACGGTGTAAACCCGGCATATGTCATACACTAGAACATGGTCCCTTAATTTCAATAAATTTATCAGTTTCTGGCAGTTTGTAGCCCATTGTTATTGATAAATTAAAAAAAAATTTTTTGATTCAACACTTAGAAAAATTTCTAACTCGAGGACTTTGAAATTTTTTGACGGTGTAAACCCGGCATATGTCATACACTAGAACATGGTCCCTTAATTTCAATAAATTTATCAGTTTCTGGCAGTTTGTAGCCCATTGTTATCGATAAATTAAAAAAAATTCAAACTCGGGGACTTTAAAAAAATTTTCGGTGTATACGCGGCGTATACTTAGGATGAATTCGACACGTATACACTATGTATACTTGGTGTATACTGAGCATAAACCGATCCACTAGGGTAAATACTAATATAGAATTTTGCAGGAGTTACAAGATCGCTTCAGTAATCTCTGACAAAATTTTATTAAATATGAAAAAATTTTTTTTATTGACTTTTAGATGCATAATAATATATTTCAATAATATAGTCTTTGATTAATAATAAAAAAGACTCAACTAAGAAGTAGAAAATATTTTTCGATAAACTTAAGGCTGTTCGGACAGTACTCCGTAATTCACAATAGAATAAAATTTTTTTTTTTTAATTAAAAATTTGAATATATGCAGTATCGATTTATCAAGACTACTTACATAAAGATAACTACTGCTCATAATAACATCAATTACATGAAATATGATAGCAATATTATCGATAACTGCAAGATAACCGAAACTGAAATCACAGCAGAGGCTGAAATAAAAAAAAAATTTATGATCATGTTGACATCAAAAAATTTTGCCAAGATTGATTTTTCTGTGAACTTCCTGACGTATGCAGGAGTCCGATACCTACCATTGACATTGACGTGATAATAGTTTTTAATGGTTAAACCGTTCTTCATCGTTCCTTCGCAAGTGTATTCACCTTTGTCCGATTTTGAGACGTCTGCAATGTTCAGTTGTGATGAATGCGATTGTGCCGCTTTGGTTTCTTTTATCGCAACTCTCCCTAAATTGATAATTCGATGATTAGGTTATTTATAGATTGGTTGCTGAGCAACAAAAGTGATCTTACCATCAGTTGCCAGAAGTTGAGTAGTTTTGTACCATTTTAAATCATCAGGGAACTTATCAGTTAATGCACTGCAATGTATCGTCATGGTATCCCCTTTAGTTATGTTCATTTCTTGGTTCACTGTGCCCAAACTGTATGCGTCAACTGCACTATCAGGATTTTTTGAATCGCCAGCTAGATATGGATAATACAAGATATTAATACACTATTTCAACTGACGACGTTAGCCGAGTGGTCAAAGGCGCACTGCTTATAGAGCACTTGAACTAACTAACCAGTCAGGCGTGGGTTCGAATCCCAAGCTGATCCTAGAAAAAACATCTTGGTTGAGATTTGACTTTGGCGACGTAGATTAAGATTTTCACAACTTAAAAAAACTCAACTTACCATTTTCAACAGTTGGAGATGGCGTTATGACCTCAGCAGTTATAACCACCTCTAAATGAAAATAAGAAAAAAAAATAAAAATACGGTATTTCACTGAAACTCGTCTTTCATAACTCATGACAGTCATGACTTACCGTGCGGTAACAAAGTGACTTTTTCTGTTTTTACAGATGAATATGTATAATAACGGCACTCATACTCGCAAAAATCTTCAGCAGTCGCATTTTTGATCGTCAATTGAGTGGATCCTCTTCGAATGCTTGAGGTCACTTGTTTTTCACTCGACTTTACGACATGGGAAGTGTAATTAGCCTATAAAAATAATTCATTCAATACGAAATAAATTAGTCTTTGTATATCATAGTTTTTGGTATCTCATTAGACGTGTCATCAGTTATATTACCTTTAGAGGCATTACCCAAGTTAGAATGTAGTCGTTGTTACTCCAGACAGAAACCGTGCAATCAATTTCGATAGTTCCACCAATTATCGTGTTGTTAAGAGATCTCGTTACAATTTTCGGCTTTTCTAAATCGTTTGGTCGATCTTACAAAAAAAAAAAAAAAAAAAAAAATTAGGGATCAACAATAAACGAAATGCTAACGAGATGAAATTGTCAATTTTCAATTGAATCTTATTGGTGTAAAAATAATTACCAGGTTTTTCGATTTCAAAGTCCATTGATTTCTTCAACCCGTTATCCAGTTGAATGACGCAAGCGTAATCTATCGGGCTGTTAGCTGTCAGATTTTTTATCATCATCCCTTTTATTGGATCAAATTCTGCATCGATCACCTAAAAGCGAACGATATTTGTAAATGTAAAATGAGCGTTTCTACTTTTATTCTATAGAATCAGAAACATGTACTGTGTGTGACATTCAACTTACTTTGCCAGCGGAATACAGTTTTACTTGATAGTTTGGTGAAGATGGTCGGCAAGGCAGAAGAACATCCTTACCCACTTCTCCATTGACGTAATATTTACCTTTGCTGTCTTGGTAAAGGAACGGATCCTCAATGAACAAGTGGTCGGTCGCTGAAACGGATATCGATGTTTAATGTATAGCAAAAACATGCTATATAACAAATTCTAAAAAGTTTCTGTGGCATTACATGCGACAAAGACGTAGACCCACTGGACGTTTGAATCGATGTAGATATCTGGCGTAAAAGGAAATTTACTCTGAGCTGGCGTGAAGTATTTCATGGGCAGGTTTGCACATCCGTACCATCCACTGTCTCTGTAGACTGTCTGCCGAAGTTCAAATTTTACAATAGGCCCATTGTTTACCATCGTGTCCTTTAGATTTTCTTTTGATGTCACAACCTATGTAACGTTCGAGTTTATGATCTTTAGTACCAGAAAGTATCATCGAAGCTTGCAGCATCATTGATTTTGGTAATACTCACCTTTTTATTGAACTCGGGGGAGAAAAATGTCATATTCTTAGAACTTTTACACTCTATAGTGAGTGGGTCTCCTACAGTCAACGAAATACTTCTAAAGGTCGTTGGGACTCCGGGCCCCACTTTCATAGACACTAAAGAAAAATAAATGGTTTTACTTTGCACCATTATTTTTTGAATCTTTCAATGTTTACCTGGTACATTGATAATTTTGGCAACAGAAGATACACAGCCAGCTTCATTGCACGCTTTACAGATAAGTTTTCCGGTTTTTTGCACATTGACCTCGATCTCCGATTTTATTTTGTTAACCCCATCAGCGGTCGAAGTTATCTATCGAAATATATTTCTAAATAACGTCCGATTGCAATTTCATTTTAATTATTTTGAAAACCACAAACCTTAACTGAGTCTTCCGGTGAGTTTTTCTCCATATTGTATAAATTATTTGTGTAATTCCACGATATTCTTGGCACTGGTTTTCCTTCTGCTTCACAATCGGCACTAACCGAAAAATTTTGTAAAACTTCGTTAAATGGTATGGATTTTGGCTGGTTTATGATCTTAGGCTTGGCTAAAAACGATAAATTTTTAAAATTTGGTCATTATTTTTCCCACTCAAAAGTAACAGTGTTTCAAAAAGATAAAATTTGGTTTTGTACTTATGATAGTGACAAAGAAAGAATGAGTTACTGTCTTCGCTGGATTGGATATTATTAAAGTATGGTTTCCTTCGTCATCTAGAGTGAGATTGTTCTTACTTAAGCGTACGACAATATATTCGCCGTTGAAATGGTGATTCCAAGGTTTCCAATCGTTGTGAATTTCATTTCCTTTAGGGTCAAGCCTGGATAAAAATGAAACTAATTTTTAGAAACTTACAAATTTTTCATAACACAAACTTGAAAATTCTACACTGAGAGAAAAGTGCATAGTTATCTAAATTATAACGTCACGAGTATAAAAATGTAGTTTTCTGAACTTTTTCTGTAGTTACTCGAAATATGCATGAGTTGAAGTATTAATAAATAGTTATATGAACTATATTTCAATAAATATTTTTCTGTTATCGTACTAAACAAAAAACTATTAGCTAACTGAAAGGTAGTTACGGACAATGTTTCGGATAGCTTAACTGGAAGAGCCCTTGGCGCGTAACCAAAATATCCGGGTTCCATTCCCGGCTCGGGCTGTCCGAATTATTTTTTCGGTTGCCGAAAAATTCTCACTGAGTGCCCCCCCCCCCTTCTCTTTATCCTTTCTTCTCCCCTATCCCAAAATTTGTCGTTTAATGACAAATTAGCTACGAGATGTATATCATTCACTCTCGAAGGATAATCGAGCTACAGTAACTTTAAATGTAGAGCTAGACATACTGAGTTAAAGTTAATCAAGATGACTATTTTGCCCATATTTAACTAAAAACAGTTTAGGTAAATATATTATTGGGGTACAATATATTAAATAATTTTAGGTACAAGAACTTCAATTAAATAGTAGTGATGCTAACTAACTAGATTTTTCTAATTCAGAGAACCATATTTGTCTCTCAGTGTCGACTGAATATTTTTCAGCTATTAATTTACTGTCATTACTTTTGCGATTATTAGTAGGATTATCGAAAAATTCAATGGTTAAATTTTTTAGCGCTGTTTTAATGAAAGAATGCCTTACCATTTAATCGTCGGATACGGATAAGCATAAATAGGTATATATTGACCAAGACTTCTACCCAATTCTTTCTTGATACCGTCGAGACCCTTCAGACTTTTCATAGTCACGTTCAAATATTTCTTAGCTGAAACCAATCAAATCAATGAGTAAATTACACTTTAAATATCATTGAAATATTCCAGCTCCGATCTACTTACCATGCAATTGGAGATTGGCTTTTGCAATTTGGGGGACACTGGAGCCATAGAAATAGCACTTGTATTCACCAACATCTTCATCACTTACATTTTTGATCGTCAGTTCACTAGTATAAATATATTCTCCCACAAAAAACAACTCGTTTATAAATCTTGTAGTCGGTTGACTCTATAATCAGAATATGCTAAATTAGTTATTCACAAGAAAAAATAAAAAATTATTGGTTCGTTTCAATACCTTTCGTGGTGTTGTCCAATAGAAGACGTCCTCTTCGATATTCTCAATGCGTACTATGGAACAATTCATTGAAAAATCTTCACCGAGAGTAAGTTGCTGCATTGAGTCTATATTTAGCGTCACTCGTGAACCTGGTGCTGTAGAAAACATATTTGTATTTATGTAACAATTGGACATAAGCCGGCACATTTATTTATGTAAAGAATCCTACAATTACGTGAAATGAAAATTGGTACGTCGGTATAGTATTCATGCGGCTTAGCAACTTCACATCTATAATATCTGTTGATCTCCTCTTTAATATCGTGAAGAGTAAATCCAATTTTTGAATCATATGTCAATTTTTCGCCCAAAGACAAGAATTTTGAGTTCTGAAAAAAAAAAAATTGAAATTCAGTCGAAAAGAGGTCTTAAGGAGGTTCGAGCGAATCTAATGTAAAAATAATTTCCAACTTTGAGCTTGGAAAGTAAGTATACGTATAAATAAATACGTCATTTATTTAATCCCAAATTTGTAAAAAGATTTACCGTTTAGGTACTTAGATATTAAATTTCAAAAATCACACTTTTTATCTGCTTATATACGAGCTCTTATGGCAGACAAACTTTAGTCGAGACTTTAATTATTTTTTTTCCAATATTAACCTACCAATTTTAACGAATAAAAAACTAAACACAAAAAACTTGGATTATTGTAAAATATAAAAAAAATTTAATAATAATGCATTACGGATATAATTTTTGAAATATTTAAAGTTAAATTTTATGTTTCAACTCGTTTATCGTCAGCTATTTATTCGAATAAAGATTTGGCAACGTCGCGTCAACAGCTGAGAAAAAAAAGGATAGAAATATAGTAACAGAGAGAAAAATATTGAACTCACACACTCATCCACGTCTGTGTAATGGGTATAGTCAAACGCGCTGTTGCCAAATCTGTTTATTTAATCCGGCAAGTAATAAATACGAAAGTCATTTCACTACTTTATTTTATTAAATAAGTGAAAATCATCAATTATTAAACTGTTCGAATTATTTCAAATTAAGATAAAGAATTTTGACGACTATTGGGAAGACTGAAAGAGAAAAAAAAATTAAACATTTTTTTGACTCATAAGTTACGCTCAAACCTCCTTTAGACAACAAATTCTTTGTTCAACAGAAAATTGATCGTATCTCATCACTTATATTTGAAAATAGTACCACATGTAATAAAGAGACATTGTAATCTGGAGAAGTTGGACGACAAGGTATGACGACATCATTATTAATTGAGCCGTGGATGGTTACTTCATTATTTTTGGTAACCAATGCACGTGTCTCAGCTGCAAATGACATGAAATTCCAATCGTTTAATTAAACTTGTCTTCTATAGATAATCTTATATAGAGTTTTATACTAATCCAAAAATGTTTCTTCAAATTACATTTTACATATACGTAAGTCCACTTGATATCTATTTCATTGTAAGTTTCAGGCGTTACGTAAACGTTTCGGAGATTCAGCTTTCGTTTATTTTTGCTAGCTTCAACACATCCGTAATATCCAGTGTCTCCAAAAACTGCTTTGGGCCTTTTGAATATGAATTTTAACTCTCCATTCGCAGATTCGTTGGTGATTGATGATGGTGACGTGTCCACCTAAAAAAAATTCAATCGTCTACTTTAATAAACCTTCATTAACAGATAAAGTAAATTCTTTCGCTGATGAAACCCACATTTGAACCAGAACATGCTGGAATTTATCCCTGAACTGTATTCTAATGTAATCCTTTGAATAGATTAAAGTATCAAACTTACTGATTCCGGAATAGTTTTTGGATAGAAAAACTCGATCTCTTCCGAAGCTGTGCAGGTTATTGCTAATAGATCGCCCTCATTTATCACAATTTGGCCAATTGGTGTGATAGTCAGCTCTGATAAACAGACTGGAAGAAAATTAAAAATTTTTATTCACATTGTAGTTTTCAGCTGATGAAACACGAAAATCATTCAAAATATTAGATTAATAAGTTACTTACGTCCAACATTTATCAGCACAAGTATAAAATGTTTGTTAAACATTTTTTTTCTTCAGTATTCAATAAAGAAATCGATACCTGAATGTGTGATGAGGTTTTTATTCTTACGTGGACACAAAATATCTAATTGAGCAACTTGTAACATTAGGCTTTTATATAAGTTTTAAAATGGAATTTCGTAATGACGTAAATATCTGTTCTTAGAAGTGACACAGATTGATAAAAATTTATGATACTTTGTGTAAACTAATTGCGTTCGTTAATTACATCGATGAATTATCAAATCTCAAAAGTATGAGTAACATACATACAAGTAAGTATGTCCCAAGCGCTTGCTTCTATTATCAGTAGAATTCGTCAGAAATAAAATGAGTCAGTTGAAAAAATAATATATAATCAAGGATTTAAGAGTATCTAAGTCAACCTATGTAAAATCAGCTGCTTTCGAACCCGAGTATTTTTGATACAGCTGAAAATTTTTTTTCTTTCGTTTTATCAAAAAAATTTATCTGAAATTATATTTTATAATTTCTTTCACAATTTTAATAAAGATATAAACTTATAAAAAAAAAAATGTTGTGTGTACTTATGTACACGCGTCAGAAGTTATACTTCTTTGGCATAAGAAAAAAAAAAATGTAAAAATGATCGAAGAAAAATGTTAAAAACAATCAAAAATGTTTTATTATAGTCAAAATTTTGCTATATTGTATAAATATAAAATCATTAATTATCGTGTGAATTTAATTCAATGTTATTTAAAATTTTCTGAATAAACTATAATTTTGGAGTTGTAAAGTATCAACAGTTTACAATTGATAATTATAAAATATTTTAATTATTTATTTAAAATATTCGTTTCTTATATAATAGTTTATTATTTATTATTTAACCGAGTGATAATATCTTTTTAATTAATATTTTTTCAAAAATAATATTAATTACATGAATTAAACGATTTAAAAATATTGTAGTACAAAACTAGATTTTGTTTCCAATAAAATTCTGAAAAATTACTAAATTGGTCTATAATATACATTTTAAGAAATATGGATAGAATTACTAAATTCGATAAACAAAATGGAGGTGGTACCTCCACGAAAAGCATATTTCAAGAAACTTATGGAATTTTTTTTATCGAAAGATAAATATATTAATAATGGAATTTATTAAGGAATTTTAAATCTTAATTTATAATTTACGATATAGTTTATTTTAAATCATTCTAACTCAAGGGCTTTTAAAGCGTATTCTTATTATAATTGGCCTTGTTTAAATTTTATTAACTAAATTCTATTATCTAAATCATATTAATAAATCTAAATTTTAGTAAACCAAATAATTCAAAAAATCTCAATATTTAAATATTCATAACTATAAACCGAAACTTAAATCCGAATATTACAAATAATTATTCGACTGAATATTTTAATGTAGCCTTTTATCTATCTTTATTTTGTATTTTATATAATTTTAAGTAACTTTGTAAATAATCTAATATATACTTATATACTAGATTATTTTATTTGATTAAAATAAAAGATAAAAAGCAAAATAATAAAAAACAGAAAACTCTGCTCTGGTTTTGTGGCGCCATAACTCTAAGGTGAGGAAAAAAAATACTATAAAAAAATGTATAGATAGATATACAATAAGAGACAATAATTTATGCCTGCTCGTGTTGCTTTGGTATCGATGAAAGTTTGGATTTATGAAAATTTGTCCAAATAAATATGAAAGTTTGTAAAAATGCTGATGAATATAAAGGCTCACGAAAGTTAGCCCCCCAGATTTTTTTTTTTATTTTTTAATTTTTTTTTTATTACACCGTTAGTTCGCCATTTGTTCTTGATTGTTCTCTATAAACATCTGTTTGTTCTCGATTTATTTATTTAAGAAAAATGTATTAAAAATGTGCCCTTAAGTTAGCCCCCCCTATCCCATTTTTTAATATTTGTTTAGCAATACGCGTCAATAAACCTCTGTTTATGATTGTTCATGTATAACAAACGTTTGTTCCCAATTGACATTGTTTATTTTTTAATTAATTAATTATTTTTAATTACTTGAATATTTGTATTCTAAATACTTGCACTGCGCATGCGTCAACTTTACGTTTAGACTTTTAGCGCGGTCTTTTTGAAGGTTATAATGACAAGTACAGTCATTAAATTGAAGTTACAAGATATATTTTTATAAGTATATCGATATAAACAATTGTAAATTATAAGCTAAAAATAATTATTATGAATTTTAACTAATACAAATCTTGTATATAAAATTCTTGGATAAATTATTATCAGTCAACAATATTTGGAGTGTATTTTTCAATTTTCTTAGCGGGAAGTTACAAGAAAAAATGATTTTCTTGTAAAATAAATTGATTTTTATGAATTCAAATTTGATTAAATTTTTTGTTCGATTCAACATAAACAAAAATTTTTAAGAGGTTAACTTTGAAACATGGACCACCAATAATGATTATTTGTAAAAATTATACGTCGTTAATAAATTACAAGGTCCTATGTAGAGACCTGATTATTATATTATTATTACTATTATTAA